CAGAAATGTAGTTGTTTGTGGTTATAAGAAGCAAGACTTCCTCCTCAGGGGTCTCATAAAGGACAATCATGCCAACAGCAGCCCCAGTAACTTTCCTTGGAGTAGATGCAGGGGTTAGGTACAAAGTACTAGTCCTCATTTCAAGACGACTGCATCACACCTAAGCAGAGGGAGGCATCATAGCTTAGAGAAAGAGACTTCTGCTCCATACCGGCTGAGTTTAAACCCCAGCTCTGCCATTTACTAGCTATGTGGTCATCATTCTAACCACCTCAGATGCCTTAGTTTCCCTTACTGCGAGGTGTGAATAACAACAGCAATTAGCAAAGATGAAATAAGTTAATAAGCACTGTACAGTGTTACCACTTATTAATAAAGAGCTTGGTAAAAAGAACCAGGGGTGGTGGTGGTAGGGGAGGCACTGCTATAATACAGTTCAATATCTAGCTCTCTGCTGACCTGACTGGACTCGAGCTCAAAGCCCAAGGTAGATTTTTGAACACTGCTGTCCAAAAGCACTTTCTACAGAAATGAAAATGTTGTATATCTGTGCTGTTGAACACTAGAAATGTGGCTAGTTTTGTTTTAGAATGTAAAATGGAGTTGGGTTTCAGGCTCAGATAACTGTGCTAATGAAGAACTAAATTTCTAATATGATTAACTTAAATAGCTACAAGTGACAAGTGGCTACCACACTGGACAGCCCAATGGAAAAATTTTCCATCGTTGTAGGAAGTTTGATTGGACAGTGCTGATCTAAAACATCTTCCAAGGAACACTCTAAATACTGTTATCAGGTAAACTTCTGATGAACATCAGAAGTTTAGGCAACAAGGAACTCCAGACTATATTCCTTGACTGAGTGTGGCCAAACCTATCTCTGGGTGAGTGGAGACCCACATACCTTGGGCTGTGGAGCTGTCCATTGTGATGTGCAAAGTTCAAGGATGAGTGACTGAACAGAATGCTGACCTTTCCTGTGCTTTGAAGGGTGACAATGAGGGGCCCATGGCAGGGCCAAGATCCTCTTTTAAAAAATGGTTTTGAATCTACCTCAGAGCACTAGGCAATGGGCTTGATTCCAAAGTCCTACTTCATCTAGCACAGCCGGAACTGTTTTGGCCTGAACAATTTTGTAGGGTGGTTTAACCAGATGCTGGTCTCTCTCCCCCGGTTCACACTGAGAAGTGCTACTTCCAGGTATCTCCCAAGGTAAACTATTTGGAAAGGTACAACAAGATGACTCAATATGAGTTCCAGACAAAAGTAACAACTGCTGAAATCGGTAAAATAATTTCATATAAATCATATAATATAAAGGCAAATAAAGGGGATGTGATTGGTAATAAAATGTGTACTACAGTCTGTTAATGCTCAGACAGCCACACTAGAAGAAACAATGATGTCATCATAGAATTATGTAGGTTACCATATTATTAATAATACTCAGCTGTCATCAGTAGCACTCTGTCAATAACAAGATTTTTTGAAACAGGTACAATTTCTGGTCAAGTTTTGAACAAATTAAAGTGGAATCTTCCCTCAATTATCTCATGGTTGTACTGTTGGAAAATTCAGTGTATATTAGAACTGTAAAAAAACACTTTGTTTTAAAATGTAAAATAAAGTTGGGTTTTAGGTTTAATAAGTTTTTTTTAAACCCATATGAATGTTTAGCAGAACATTCAAGAATGATGTAGAATGTGGAAGAATTCTTTGTTGTGCTTTGTTGTACTGTCCCACATGCTGTGACATACAACATCTATGGCTGCTGCCCACTGTCAGCCTCCCATCATTTCTAAACCGCTGGTCCAAGCCAATCATATTGACCCTATCAACCCCACTGCCAACAACTGGTGGATCAATCCAGGCCTAATCAACCAGTGCACGACGTGGGCTGGTTTGAGAACAGGTACACAATGTAATGTTGGCCAAGGAAAGAGAAAGGAAGTCTGCTGGGAGCTCTGGAGGAAAGTTTCCTAGGAGAGACCCACAGAAAAGATGGTCTCTTCTCCACGTGGTTACAAATGGAAGTGTGGCCTGATAATCCTGAACTCATCTCAAAACCAGCTGAAGGATGAAGCCAACAAAACAGGAGGGAAGAGCCGAAAGCACAGGGAACCGAGCTGCACTGGCATTATGTCACCCGCGGGGTCTACTCCCCCTTTGGACTTCCAGCGACATAAATCAATAAACTTCCTATGGTTTAAGCCACTTTGAATTTGGATCTGGGTTTCTTGCAGCTGAGAGCACTTTGATACACACATACTTTCACAAGTCAAAGACTGAGGCCTGGCTAAAACAACAACAACAGGGGAATACTGTTCCCGGACTTCTGTGCTAAGTGGTGAAAAAGGCAGTGTGCTGGTCTAAAGCCTCGTGCTCTCATGTAAAGGAGCTACACAGCACAAGACTATGTATCTCTTCAATCAAGTGGCAGGCATATTGTGGAAGAACGACGAGCACAGTTCACACATGCAGCATGCTGAAGGAAACATGTGAAAGGTAAAAGCTATTTAATCTGAGAAGAAAAAAATAAAGCTGCAGGTGACAAAGCAATGGACTTGAGCATGAGAAGGTCTATAGGATGCACTGTGGACAGGGTAGTAAAACTTGACCAAGTTCCTTTTCTCATGAACTTACAATTAAAGAGACAAATGAAAAACAAAATACATGCTTACTGAGGATGGTAAATGATAAGGAAATGGTAGGTAGAGAAGTGGGCAGTCAGATATGGTGAGGTATGGAAGCTTTTCTGATCATGCCAGGGGTTTGAGCTTGAATTTTAAAGGAAACACTGGTAGGATGTGGGAAAATGGTACCTTCATTATAGAAAGAGGAAAATATAAGTATTTAGGAACAGTAGTGGAAATTTTAGTAACATGCTGCTGAGACAGCAGCAGGCAAGGTTCTAGATGGTTCCACCACCAGATTCGTAACAGGCAGTGGGGGGATAAGAAAAAGAAAACTTATAGTTGGAAACAGAGCCTCAATCTGGAAAACCTGTTCCACCACATGTCCAGCTTTGACCTTGGACAAGCTACTTATCCCTCCCTGTATCAGTTCCCTTATCTTATAAAAAGGAGGAACACAGTGGGGTATGGGAACATAAGGATGAAACAAAATGAGGCATGTTCAGTGACCTGTATAATTGGGAGGTGGTCAATCATTGCAGTTATCACATTTCATTTGTTTGTTTATCCTCACCAGGGGATATTTTTCCATTGATTTTTTTTAGATAGAGTGAGTGGAATGGGGGCGGGGGAAACATCAATGTGAGAGAGACAATAATTGTCGGGCCGGGCCGGGAATAGAACCTGCAAACCAGGTGCGTGCCCCGGACAGGAAATCAAACCCGCAACCTTTCAGTCCGTGGGTGACACTCTAACCACTGAGCCAAACTGGCCAGAGCAGTTATCACTTTTAAATCCACAAGCAATTCACCCAAATTAGTTTCAGGGCAATTATAAGGCAAACATATATAAACTTGATATACTTATTAAACCAGGTTAAAAAAAAACAGGCTGTTTTTTAAACAGCCAATTGCAATTCATCTTTTTAAACCTTAAATTAAAAGAAAAATTATGATACACTAAGAACATGGATTGTGATTAAGAGATTATAAATACATTTATTAGTGGTGTCACTGAATTCTGAATACAGAGAATAGAATACAAAGAAATCAAAACTTAAAAGAAAACATAAAAAAATGCAACATATGTACATATATATTTAACGAATTTTGCATATCTGTTTAGATTTACAAACAAATGTAAAGCTAATTCCACAGTGTACTCATTATGACTTCTAGTGTTCTCCATTCTAAAATCCACTGTTTTTACTGTATTTACATCAAATAAGATTTATTTTGTTATGTATCTAACCTAAAAGCAAGACTCTGTGAGCTGATACTGAAGCAGCCAGGTGAATCAAGAATTTTAAAACAGCTCTTTAAGAGAGGATAAAGCCACATGAACGAGAGGACAAAATCACCTCAACCCTAGATATGTAAATAAAAAAGAGAGAATAACAAGAAGCGCAGAAATACCAATTCTATTCTAAACTATAAGTTCTAATTCTAGATACAATTCAATTAGCAGTAGCTTACTTATTGTTCTAAAAAGTAAAACCATTAGTTCTTTCATTAGTTTTCAGACTATAGCCAATGAATAATTATCAAGTCTTCATATTCTTTTTTAATAATCCAAGAATGTGATTTATATGTAACAGAATCATTAACAAAAGAGGCCTTCAAATATGCTGCTGAATGCTGCAATATACTTTGGGAGCCAGATTTCAATTTACATAATATTACCATTCATAAAGCATTTATGACACCCAGTACAATCATGGTCAGAGATGTTAACTCAGAAATATCCCATCCATTCTTGCCATCAGAGAATTATTGACATGGATGAAATTGTTACAACAATTCTACAGGGCCTCTAAATAGGACTGCACTTAAAATGAAATAATTATGAATTATGATACAATTGTGACAACACAGCAAGCTTATAGAACTGAATTTTTCACTGTAATAACAGCACTGCAAAGCTACAGTAACCGTTAAATATCAGAATTATTTTTCCCTGCTACTGGCTAGAAAAAGTTTTCTCACTATATTTTTGATGAACAGACCATCTTTAAAATAAACACTAGGGAAAATTGAAAAGTGAACAAAATGAACTGAAGTTCACTTTTCACAGATATTAACAGAAGCAAAGTAGTTTACAAAAAAAATTATCCTAAGATCAAATAAATATAAGATGAAATCAATCATTTTTGAAGAAAATAGAACTTTCAAAAGTTCTATTTGGTTTGTGAGCAGACTTGAACGTATTAAAATAAACCAAACAGATTCCAACAATACTGACTTACTAGGCAGGATTTGAAAAAAGCACCTAAAGTTTTAAGCTGAATATTTCATTCTCTCTTTTATTCCTGGAGACTGTACATAAAGAGAGAAAAGAGGCTTTTGCAAAAATAAAAACAAAACAAAACCAACAACCAAAACGAATCATATAAGGAAGCCTTTTTCTTTTTAAACACTTCAGTTTAGTTGGTCCTATATCGAGGTAAGGTTTCTATAGCAAGGACTTCACTTACCTTTCTTTAGTCATTTTCATGTTTTTACCAAACAAGGCTGTGTGTTCCTAAGTTAGGTTGAATCAGAGGTAGCTTTAGGATGCAGTATACTTGACTACAGTATGTAGTTAGTTTAAATGAACATGTCATTCTAAAAGTATCACAATACATAAAAATGCACAAAGAAAAAAATGTACAGCCCTCACTGCCTTGCACTAAGAGAACAATTTTGAGAAACTGGGAAACACTAGAAGCCAGGAAACAGGCATGTGCCCATCTTCCAGGAGCTCCTTCAATGCACCAGTTCAGGCTGGTTTTCCACGAAGGGTAGCACCCCACTCACATAGTAAGCAATACCAAGAGACAGCAAAGCAATGACAAAGATCAAGAGCAAAACCCTCCAGAAGCCCAGATCCTCTACAAACTCCTGCCACGTGGTTCGGAAACTGGACAGGACTCCTTCACCTTGCTGTAAGTTGGGATTGAGGAGAGAATGGCTTTCCATGGCACTGTGAAAGACACAAGGAGAACATGAACGGGTATGAAACAACACATCTCACCCATTTCAAAAACATAAAACAACAGAAACTATTATTTAGAAAAGAGCAACTTTATGACACAAGTACTCACGAGAAGAAAACTGACATATGTGCATGTATATCTCACACACTTATGTACTGATTTATGTATCTGAACAAGCTACCTTACACTGTAAATTGCTAGCCATAATGATTATTATTCTTGGTTTTATATCTAGCAGAGTCAGTTAAAAAAAGTCCTTTTCTAATAAAAAAGTCTCAAGCAGGCATCTTAAAGTAGGTCAAATGAGATGTTTCCATCAGATACTAAATCAAAACACATCTGGTTATTTTAAATTTAGAAGACTTCAAAATGAAGATTCAACCTTCCCTGATGGTCTAGTGGTTAGGATTCGGTGATCTCTCTCTCAAAATGAACATTCATAATTTGAGAATTTGTGTTAATGAAAATAAAGACAGACAAATCTAAAAACTAATTTAATAAAGTATGTGAATCTTAAAAGGGGATTTTTAGTTTAATAATCTGAACAATGAAGGAATTCCTTCTTTTATCTGTAATTCTCTAATCATAAAAGTCTACTCCGCAGTCTTTTATACATTTGAACATGTCTACTTATTAGGAATTCTTTTTTTTTTTTTATCCTCACCAGAGGACATTTTTGCATTTATCTTCTGATAGAGCAGGAGGGAGAGAGGCGGGAAGAGAGAGAGAGAAACATTGATGTGAGAGAGACACATCGACTGGTTGCCACCCACACAACCCCAAGAGGGATCAGGGACAAACTGCAACCGAGGTATGTGCCCTGAGTGGGAACTGAACTGGGGACTCTCTGGTCCATGGGCTAAAGCTCTAACCACTGAGAAAAACCAGCCAGGGCAGAAATTCTTTTTAATAGTTTCCTCACACTGGGTTTAGTTCTAGTTTGTACAATAATACAGAGTATGTAGGAAAGGCTAATTTCTACACAGCTATGCCATAATGCCATGTACAAGCCAATTCCCTTAAGCTTTTTCTCACTTTTTAATTAAAATACAATTCTGATACCATAAAATTCATCTTCTTACTGTGCACAATTCAGTGGTTTTTAGTATATTCATAAAGTTGTACAACCATCTCCACCTAGTTCCAAAACATTTTTATCATTTCTGCAAGTAACTCCATACCCATTAGCAGTCACTACTTCCCACAGCTCCTGGCAACCACTTATCGCTTTCTACTAATCAATTCTAGACATTTCATATAAATGGTATCATATAATATATGACCTTTTGTGACTGACTTCTCTCATGTAGCAAGTTTTCAAGGTTTTTCCATGCTGTAGCTTGTATCAGCATTTCATTACTTTTTTTTTTTTTTTTTTTTTTTTTTTTTTTTTTTTTTATCCTCACCCGAGGACATTTTTCCATTTTTTGTTCAGATAGAGCGGGATGGAGAGAGAGGAAAAGAGAGAGAGAAACATCAATGTGAAGGGACACATCGAGTGGCTGCCACCCGCACGACCAACCAGGGCCGGGGACAAAGTGCAACTGAGGTACATGCCCTTAGCGGGAACCGAACCCGGGTCTCTCTGTACCGCAGGCCGACGCTCTAACCGCTGAGCCAAACCGGCCAGGGCAGCATTTCATTACTTTTTATGGTAGGATAATATTCCAATGATGGATAGATAACATCCTGTTATCTATTTATCAGTTAATGGACTTCTGGGTGGTTTCCACCTTTTAGCTGTTATGAATAATAGCTGCTATGAACATTAGTGCACAAGTTTTTGTGTGAACATGGTTTCAGTTTTTTTCAGTATGCACCTAGAAGTGAAACTGTTGGACTATATGGTAACACTGGGTAACTTTTTAATGAACTGCCAGACTGTTTTACATTCCTACCAGCAATGCATGAGGGTTCTAATTTCTCCACATCCTCACCAACAGTTGTTATTGACCATCTTTTTGCGTATAGCCATCCTACTAGGTATGAAGTGGTATTTCACTGTGGTTTTGATTTGCATTTCCCTAATGACCAATGATGTTGCCTTTAAACTTTTAAATTTAAGCTTCAACCACTGCATTTCTATCACGATGCTGAGGGGCAGAAATAAGACAGGACTACCAGGTACTAGAAATATTAATAATTCAATTTCTGAAGAGCTGGCTTTACACAATGCTGTAAATAAGACAGATTCTCATATGGAAATGACATGGAGGGTATATTAAAGAAGCAAAAATAAATATTTCGTACCGATCTGCTCAGGAGACAAATTACTTCTTAAATAATCACAACTAAGGCAAAACGAGTTAAAAATCAATTTCTGAAAGAGAGGTGCCAAGAAACTCGCTATTAACTAAATATACCAACCAAGGTCTCAAAAATATACTTAGCAAAAACAAAAGCACATTTTTAGAAATGTCTCATGGTAAAAAAACTTCAAATAATTTACTACTATTTTTTAGAAAGATGAAAATGAATTTCAGTTGTTTTGGAAGAACATAATCTATAACAAATAATAGATAACAATGTTATTAAGTTGCTTATGCCGTTCTGACAGTTGATCCAAAATACACAGGTGAGGTGAGAAAGAGGGCTTGCAAATGCATCTTTGGCCTCCTGCTTATTTTATCTACTTATCGGCTTTCGGTGATAACTCCTGAGAAGCATGCACTGTTCTAGAAGTAAAACTCTTAATTTCTTTGGACAGTAATATATATTTGAAAGTACTAAACAAAACAGTTCTAAGTTTGAGAGTGGAATTAATGGTCCCCAATGAATATATCAGCCAGCACATGAAAGAAGGTGGAAAGCAATTATGAGTACAAAGGAATTGCAGGGTGAACTATGGAAAATAGAAAGGATTTCATTTAGAACTAAAAAAAAACAACACAATCCTGATGGTCTAGATGGTCTACATGATCCTAAATCTAAATCTGATCAATCAGCTATTAGGTGAACAGCTGATGAGGGCCCTTGAAATATATTCCATTGAAAATTGTGGGGGGAGACTATAATAAACTCATGGGCCTTCTTACCTGGTATAATCCGGAAGGTTAAGCACCATGGCAGCCAATGAAACTACATGCTAGCACAACAAAGTCTGGCCAGGAGAAAAAATGGTTTGTCACCTTTTCTGAGCTCCCTGAACTGTGGTCTAACCTGCTTCTAGATGAGAAATGATGAATTTAAGACCTGGTCAGTCACTGCCTCTTAGCTTCAGTTATTTACAGAACAAATTTCATTTGTTCCAACTCATGACAAAGTCACTTTCACTTTCACATCACTGAACTGTGCATGTGTTCAATTTTGTCTTACTTTCTCTCCTCCCATTTTACTTTTCCTCAGCAGTCCGTTTCCTTACCCTTGAAACTACCTTTTTGGTCTTTTCTAATATTGTCCAAGTTCCTAGCCTTACTATCTTTTGACATTCCATTCCTTCTGTGACCTGCACTAAAATTCTCAAACTCCTGTCTCCTTCCCTCATATTCAGTTCTTAACCACCTCTTCTCCCTTGCACTGATAATGCAGCAGGTTTCTTGCACAGAGCATTATGTGAAAAGGGGTATGCAGTACTTTCCATTAATAGCTCTCAATTATAACCTAGAGCCAGAGGAACCTATATAAAGTTCAAAGAAAGTATCAAAGCCCTGTACTTGAAAGCAAATAAATATAAAACTCACAAAGTTGTCATAAAAAATCCAGGACTTAAAGTGACTTGCCCATTAAAAAATTATATCTTAAGTACCTTTCACTCTCAGCTGTCTGCATGGTCTCCAGTTTTGAGTGGGTTCCTCTGTTAAATCCTTTTACCTCCTGTTCTTCCAAAGATTCCAGCAATCGGATGACATCTTTATTCACTCCCCTGCGCTTTGCCAGGACTAAGGGTGTAGCACCTTGATGATTGCTAAAAAAACAAAGAGGTCATCATAATAGTTGTAGTACATTGTTAGTACCTACTTGTGTAGATAGTGAAGAAGGTCTAGGCCCTAATTAAGTCAAAATTAAAACCCAGAGCAGAACTGAAGGTCAAGCTGAAACCTGAATTTTGAGTTAATCTATTTTCTTTTCCTTATAGGGAAAAAGAAAAAGGAATGAATGTATAGACAAAAAAGTGAATGAGAATAAACAAAAAAAAAAGAGGGCATCCTCCCAGAAATTAACAGGAAAGTCTAATTCTAGATTCATTTTCATTTGATATTTTTATATTTTATGGGAAAAATGTCTATTTTTTTTTGAAGTCTAAGAATTAAAAAATAAAAAAAATTCCCAAAGCAACGAAATAAGCTGCTTTGGTTTACCTAGCTATGTTACACTAATAACAGGACAGAGCCCTAATAACATTGAATCCTGCAGTCAATTCCCACTACATACTGTCTGTATAGTAGCAGAACCACTTACTATCATATTCAGAGTTAGGAACATTAACACACCAATATATTAGGGCAACATGTAACTGTAGTTTAAAGGTCCAGCTCAACTTTAAAGGTGGCCTGACATCTTTCCCACTCAAGAGAGAAAGTATCTCTAAAACAAATACAGAAAACCACTTCTTCAAATTGTTCAGTATAAAAAGGACTCTGAGCCCTGGCCGGTTTGGCTCAGCAGTTAGAGCATCGGCCTGTGGTCCTGAGAGACCCAGGTTCGGTTCCCGCTAAGGGTGCGTACCTCAGTTGCAGTTTGTAATTTGTCGTCCCTGGCCCTGGTTGGTCATGCGGTGGCAGCCACTCGATGTGTCCCTTTCACGTCAATGTTTCTCTCTCTCTCTCTCTCCCCCCCCCCCCACTCTACCTGAACAAAAAATGGAAAAATGTCCTCAGGTGAGGATTAAAAAAAAAGGACTCTGAGCCCCAGAGATTATGAAGCTAGCATAGAATATTATATGATAGAAGGCAAAAAGCTTTGGAATCAGGTGGAACTAGGTTCAAATTCTGGCTGAGACCTTTGTTAAGTCATTTAACTCTTTTTATCTCAACTATTTATTTTTGTTGTTGTTAATTCTCACCAGAGGATATTTTTCCATTGATTTTTAGAGAGTGGAAGGAAGAAAGGGAGGGGAGGGGGGAGAGAGAGAGAGAGAGAGAGAGAGAGAGACACACTGATGTGAGAGCGACACATTGATTGGCTGCCTCCCACACAACCCTGACCAGGGCCAGGATCAAACCTTCAACCCAGGTACGTGCCTTCGACTGGAAATTTAACCCGCAACCCTTTGTTCCAAAGGTCGATGCTCTAACTGCTAAGCCAAATGGGCCAGGGCTTATCGCAACTATTTCATCTGTACAATGAAGATAACACCTACTGCAAGAGCTATCCATTCTGAGCTAACATAAGTAAACACAGTGCCCAACCCATAATAGATTTTCAACAAATTTTAGTTCTTCTTTTTCCCTCATCTTACAATATACAATTAGTAGCAGAATCTAGTCATTATTTTCATAGAACTTATACTGCTTTAGCAAAATCTAGAGGTCAGCCCCTTGTTTCCTCACTCCCCTACCAAGGTTCCACTGTTCTCAATGCCTTTCTGAATGTGTCACTACAGTTGATCAATGAGGAAGCAAAATCAATAGACTCTAAGATTAGCCCACTGGTTGGAGACTAATGGGAAGAAATGACTAGACTTTCAAAACCACAGAGAACTTACCAAATATCAATTTTAAGTCCATTGGAAACTAAGAACTGAATAGTATCCACATGACCACAGAGATGAAGAGCTGTGTTCCCTTGATAATCTGTGGCCAGAAGATCAGCACCAAATTTATGTAACAACTGGCAGATGTCTACATTCCCACGGGCTGCTGCAAGGTGAAGGCCTGTTCTGCCCCTGTTGTCGCGAATATTTGGGTCAAAGCCACTTTCCAAAAGCCGCTTGGAATAGTTAAAGTCTCCATCAATACAGGCTTGTAGCAAGGGCACATTAGTCTGAGAAGAATCATTTACAAAAACGTAGGACATTGCTCTGATGTGGTGGATGCCTGTAATGAAATACAAGGTGAGGGAAACTTAGTGAAGCCAAACTAAATCACGACAATGAAATCATTTAGAAAAGCACTCTTTGTTATCCTCCTTGGCCTCCTGATGCTAATAAATTACTTCACCAAACAGAAACAATAAAATTATCAATTACATTTTATTTTTCCATTAAAATGTCTTATTTCCTTTATATCTGCTGGATCAAAATTGCAATTAAATTACTATAAAGCTCTATTTTGCTTTTCTTCATGTAAAAAATTAAGATATTTTTAAAGTTAAATAAGATATAACTGCTTAGATTTAAGTTTTTTGCACTGTCAGAAAACATAAATACATAAATCTTGGACTTCAAAGAACTACATACCTACACACGTGCGCACGCGCGCACACACACACACACTGCTGATATTCTTATTTAAAACAATGTAATTCCCCTCATATATTTTTCCTTCTTATTGTATTTAAAATATTCTATATGGTAAATAGAACTATCCGCTCAAAAGTTAAATCAGCATAAAAACAGCAAAATCAACCCTCAATAACTAGAACAAACTTCAATTTTAATAGAAAGAGAAAACTAAGGAAAGCAACAAACTCAATTTAAAAATTAGAAATATCATTAATCATTCAGATTGTCCATCTTTTTCACAGTATTGATCCTTTTCTCCTCTGTTCTATGGTTAACTGAGTATCTATCTGACTTTAGCCCTGGACGGTGTGGCTCAGTTGGCTGGGTATCATCCCAAGCACTGAAAAGTAGCTGGTTTGATTCCCAATCAGGGTACATGATGAAGTTGCAGGTTTGATCACTGGTAAGGGGTGTGCAGAAGGCAGCTGATAGATGTTTTGCTCTCATGTTGATGTCTCTGTCTCTCTCTTTCTCTCTCACCCTTCCTCTTCCCCTCTCTTTCTAAATATCAAAATAAAAATCTTTTTTTAAAATTTCTTTTCTTTATTGATCTTTTTTAGAGAGAGAGGAAGGCAAAGGGAGAGAAAGAGAAACATCAATGCGAGAGAACATCCATCAGCTGCCTCCTGCATGCTCCCCACTGAGGACCTGGGTATGTGCCCTGACTGGGAATTGAACTGGCAACCTCTTGGTGCATGGGTAGACGTTCAACTGCTGTGCCACACCAGCCGGACTAAAAAATCTTTAAAAATTTTGATAAATATCGCTTCTTGGCCTTTTGGCTAAGATCAAGTGTAGTATCTGTTCTTATCAGTTTAAAAACTTGATAAATATCTGACTTTACCAAACTCCCATTGTCTGAAGACTGAGAAATGAGGAAAACCAGGTCTGTCTAGGCATAGAGAGGTGGGACAAAGGCAGAAATCCCAGGTGTCCACTCTAGTTATTTCCTCTACCTGAGTAACGTAGTTTTACCAGTTAATTTGTCTATACCTCTGATACTTCCCTGCCCCAGTGGTCTCTCTGTCTCTGTCTCTGTCTCTCTCTCTCAGTGTCTCTCTCTATATCTCCCTCTCTCTCTTAGGGTCTCTCTCTCTTTCTTGGTGTCTCTCTCTCCCTTAGTGCCTCTTAGTGTCTCTCTCTGTGTCTCCCTCTCTCTCTTAGTGTCTCTCTGTTGTCTGTCTCTCTCTGTCTTTCTCTGTTACTCCCATCTTGGATTATGTAAGAATAAGTTAAAGCCTGACAAATCTAAGAAACTGAAAAGAAAACAAGAAATCACAAAGGTAGAGACTGATGTGTTTATTATAGAGATGATGCCCACTCTAAGATTACAAAAGCTTAGTCAGAGATGAGCCTGGCTTGTCAGCCAAAGTCTTTTTTTCTGGACCACTAATGGAATTGGATGCAAGACCAATCCATTCTTGTGCCTAACCTCAGGGTGTCAGGAAAGCATGGCTGTGGAGCTTGATGAGATTCTTGGCCTCTACTCCTTTTAGCCTGGTTTCCCAGCACAGCCACTCTCCCCTAGTCCTGGCTTCCTTACACTGGAGCTCTGCTGCTGCCGTGGGTTCTCTGTGCAAAGGGAAAGCATTAACAGACACTGAAGGCCCGTGCTGAGCCAGGCACTGCACTGGAGCTTCTTACTGAATTTTATGTAATCTTCCTAACAGCTCCGTGATATGGTTTATTGTACCTGAATTTTAGTGGAGTCATTGAAGGATGTTAAGCCAAAAAAATGGCATAGTTTCATTACATTAGTTTTTCAGAAAGATTACTTTGTTGGCAATATGGAGAGGTTACATTGGAGGGTGTCAAGATTGGAGACAGGGAGATCAATCAGTAGGTCATTGTAGAAATTCAAGCAAGAAATAATGACAGCCTGATCCAAGGCAATAGCAGAGACAATGGGGCATAGGAAAGGAATACATAAGGTACAATTAGCACAATTTAATGACCCATTAGATATAAAGAGTGTGAAGGAGATGTTAAGGATAATTCCAAATAAGGGAAAAATCTGCTTATGATTAAGAATTACAGAGATCAGCCTGACTCGTGAGGCTCAGTAGTTGAGCATCGACCCATGCACCAGGTCACCGGTTTGATTCCCAGTCAGGGCACATGCACAAGTGGGGGCCTGATCCCCAGTGGGGGCATGCAGGAGGTGGCCAATTGATGCTTCTCTCTCATCAATGTTTCTATCCCTCTCTCCATCTTCCCTCCTATCTAAAATCAATAAAGAAAAAATATATATATTTTTTTAATCCTCACCCGAGGATATTTTTCCATTTTTTGTACAGAGAATGGGAGGGAGAGAGAGGAAGGGAGAGAGAGAGAAACATCGACGTGAAAGGGACACATCGAGTGGCTGCCACCCACACGACCGACCAGGGCCGGGGACAAACTGCAACCGAAGTACGTGCCCTTAGCGGGAACCTAACCCGGGTCTCTCCGGACCACAGGCCGACGCTCCGACGCTCTCACCGCTGAGCCAAACTGGCCAGGGCAAGAAAAAATATTTTTTAAAAAGGAATTACAGCCCTGGCCGGTTTGGCTCAGTGGTTAGAGCGTCGGCCTGCGGTCCTGAGAGACCCGGGTTCGGTTCCCGCTAAGGGCGCGTACTTCGGTTGCAGTTTGTCCCCAGTCCTGGTTGGGTCGTGCAGGTGGCAGCCACTTGATGTGTCCCTTTCACGTCGATGTTTCTCTCTCTCTCTGTTCCTCTCTCTCCCTCCCACTCTACCTGAACAAAAAATGGAAAGGTGTCCTTGGGTGAGGATAAGAAAAAAAAAAAAAAAGGAATTACAGAGAACAAGATAAAATAAACAAATAAACTTCAGATTATGACATTATATAATGCTTTTAAAAGAAATTAGCCTAAATGAGAAAAAACATTACTCAATAAAATTAAGAATTTTCTTTTGAGGGTGTAATCTCCCTATTTCCCCCTACAGCTTTCATTGAATTGGATCATTAAAAAGGACAATGCTATCAAATTTTTAGAAAAATAAAATACAGCCTAAGTGCTTTCCAAGATGCAATGTGTTTTGGTTGAACCGTGTATGAATAGATTCTGAAAAACAATTTACTTGGTGTTTTTGGTTCAAACACAGTAAGAATTCTTGTGGTTTGCAGACTGGGATTCTTTTGAGTCTGGCTCAGTTTTTTTTAAAAAGCCTTTCTTGTCTATTTTTTAAGAATAAGTGTGGTGTATTTTGTGAGTTCCTTTGTGCCCCTGAGAAACTGGTAACCTTACCCCCAAATTTAATAAGCTCAATGATAGATAACATTTTTCATTTTGATCTCAGAACTGAATCTGTCTTAAAGCAAGACCACAATAGAAAATACTCACGTAAGCCTTAAGATTAGATCTTTTTCAGTGGTCACCTGGCAGTTTCTTTGAATTCTTAAGGTTCAACAGGATATCCAGAAATGTACCGGCAAGGATCTACAGTAAATAGAAAATTCAGTTATACCAAAGGTGTGGTGTGAAAAAGGACTTGCTGTTCTATTAAACACAGACAAGCTAGCGCAGCCTGTGTATCTTCCCCAGAAAATGTATGGGTAAGGCTTCTACTTATGAGGCTAGTAAAGTAACTGACAAGTTAATAAAGTAGTGAAAAGGAAGACCAAAGGGGCTTAATAAAGTGTCTCTGTTGCCCACAAATAAGAAAGAATGGTCAGAAAGATAAAAGAGAAAGAATCAAATTATGTGTCATCAGCAGAGAAAAAACTGGGCTCTGAAAATTCACTCTAAGTCACTGGAATTCAGAATGCATACTTTTCATGTCAATGGTGGCTAGATCTCCTAAGATTGTCCCCTCTCCTTTCTTTTCAGTGTGAAAGAAAAACTGGCTCAAATCTAACAGCGATCTTTTCCACATGGCTGACCTCACTCCTCCTAAACTGGTGCTGCTCCACCTTCACGCTTTCGCTGGGACCCAGTCAGGTGTCCCCTCTGCGCACTGACAGATTTTGAGAGTACTCTCTCTCCCACTACGCTGGTCTCTTGAGGGACTATGGCAGAGGGGGTCGTGGACAGGCAGTATGGACCAACATTTACTGTGTGCCTGAAATGTGCCAATACATGCTAAGTGGTAGAGTATTAAGTCTAAATCTCACATTTACAGCTTTGGCTGAAATTCAGGATAACAGTTTGTTTAACTGTTCATGTTCATTGTTATCAAATCCCTTTAAATAAACTTATACAGAGAAATAACTAATGATACTTTACAGAGCTCCATTTACAATATGTGAGTCAGATTGTATCATAAGGGCTATCAGTGCTGGGTTGGAAGTGAAGACCAGGACTGACAGACTGTATGTGAGGTCCAGTCCAACCATAGTGTCAACAAATAACACACAAAACATCCGCCCTCCTCAACTGTTCCTACAGGGCTCTGCCATTTTCTTTTGATATGACAAGGCCCCATAAGAAAATAAACTTGATCAAATTACAGACTCATTTATGTGATTTCAAACAATATTATACAAATGCATTATATCTAATTCCTAGAAATCTGTTAAGAAAATGTCTAAGACCCCAATTAGATCTTAATCACTAGAAATCTGTTCATAGCTTCCTCAATAAGTTATGGAAGTGAATAAAAGTCAGGACACATATTAACTACTATCTAAGAGATGAAGAGGACTAAAGATTTTAAAAATTATTCTGAGATAGAGATTCACATGCAGTTGTAATACAAAGATCCTGTGTGCTTTTTACCCAGTTTCCCCCAACAGTATCATGCAAAACTATGTCACAACAATGTCACAACCAGGATATTGACATTGATATAGTCAATATACAGAACATTTCTACCACCATGAAGGTCTCGCATATTACCCTTTTATAGTCACACCTATTTCCCTCCTGCCTCCACCCCTTTTTATCCCCTGGAAACCACTACTCTGTGTTCCATTTTAATAATACTTTCCTTTCAAAAATATTACATAACTAGAACTATACAGTATGTAATTTTGGGGGGTTGCTTTTTATTTTGTCACGCGATATAATTCTCTTGAGATTCATCCAGGTTGTTCGTATCAATAATTTGTTTCTTTTTTACTGCTGAGTAGGTAGGTATTCCATGGTAAAGATGTACTCAGTTTAACTGTTCAGCTACTGAAGGACATCTGGTTGTCTCCAGTTTTTGGTAATGTTAAGCTTCTAAATATCCAGGTACATATTTTTATGTGTATGTAAGTCTTCATTTCTCTGGGACAAATAACCAGGACTGCAACTGCTGGGTTTATGGAAGCTTAAAGATTATGATAAAAAGACTGTTGAGTCTGAAGGTGCCTACATTGACCATACAAAAAAAGGAAGAATGTAAGATCTTCTTTGGGATCATATGTCTGGATGCCTCAGGGAACCAGGAGAGTGAAAGGTTATTTATGGACGAGTTCACAGGACCAAGCATTTGGAAAGGGCTCCGGCAGATGCCCTGGTATTTACCAAAGGAAGTAATAAAAACCATTCCACAAGCAGAGTTAGAGGCACCAATGTGTGAATGTGAATGATGAAGTAGTATCTTTCAAGATTCACAGATGGGATTCTGTTCCCCTGTGAGTCGATGTGAAAGCTAAGCACACAGAAGGTAGGGAATGCAAGAGGGAGAGAGACGTATACAATCTGACTCTCCTGAGAGGGGCTACTTTTAGGAGTGTATGTACAGTGCTCTATAAAGACTATTAAAAGAGTCTGAATGAATCTGGAGCTGGAGAGCCTGGGTTTGAAATCCACTTCAGCTACTTACTAATTGTTTGACTTAAGCACCCCAAAAATAACAATTACTACCCTCCCCAAACTGGACAAAGCTCTAGGGGACAAGTCCTCTACTGTACTGAAGTCAGTCTACACAGAACATTGATCCACTAATAACAGCAGCTTCCCTCTAGTGGGTAGTCAAGACCTCCAGGGAAGACAAAGAGAACAGGTTCCTGGCAGAGGAAAAACCACAGAACAGTCAATAATAGGAATCAGCAAGCCCCAGAAAGTCCTCTGCATGTTCATTATGGCCTGGTTCCTAAGGGACAGTGTCCACTGACTGTTTCAAAGGCCGACTCCCTGGGATTATTAAAAGTAGGACTTTGGTGGTCAGGTCTTGGAAGGCTGGCACAGCCCAGCATTTAAAACTCTAACCCCATGCTCTGTGGCACTGCCTAAGAAACTTCATGAGGATCAAGTCACTCATCCTTTGTGAGAGGCAGTCACTCAGGACTGTTACAAGAGCTCCTAACACTAAATAGTACTTGTCTCAATTCAAATAACAAAACAATAGGAGACTTTGATGGAAGCTTGTGAGTCACTGACTTGATGGAAAGTTCTTGTTAATATTCTTTTTCTTTTATGTTAACCTTAGGCCGATCTGTACAACTTTAAGATAGTATTCTTGATGGTTAAGAACTAATGGAGAAAACATGTTCTATTTTAACATATATTTATTATACTATCACTTTAAATTGGTCTTCTATATCCAATATCAGCAACCACATATCATGTATTGATTAATTTTTCATTTTGAAAGTCACTGGGAAAAGCAAGACTAAGCTCTACATTCCTGGTTCAAATGGACTAACTACGTTATGTCTACACAGCAACTTTAATCAGAGATCTGAACACCAGACACTTAGCAAAATGCAAGAAACATGGCGTATCTGGAGCGACACATTATCATACCTGTCCCCTACATTTTCTAATGTCAAAGAAAAGTACTAAAACTGAAAATGATATACAGTAAAAACGGAACCCCCAAATTTGGATACTCTATACTTCACTTGGTTAAGTCTTACCCTTTTATTTTTTTTTTAAATTTTATTCTTTTCATTCATTTTTTAAAATTAATTTATTTTTGTTACACACGTTTTTCCTTTTTTCCCCAATGACACCCTCCTCCTGTCTCCCGCCCCCAGCATTGTTGTCTATGTCCAGTGGTTATGCTTATATGCATAAGTTCTTTGGTTAGGGTTCAGATTGACAAGCTTCAGTGGAAGTGGTACGGGGGAGGGAAGAGATAAGTCTCACTCTTTTAAAATATAAAATAACCTCAGAGAACCATAAAACAAATTAATTTGTTCCGGAAAGCTGTTTGAGAAGCAATTTGTATGAAAACTGAAACCTTTTTTTTTCCATTAGAAATAATGTAAATTGAATTAATCCATTCCAGACCCACAAATGATTCTGTTTTAACCTTTCCTATTACAGAGATCTGAACTCACTGACATTTTAAGCCCATTAAAATGGAGTCAAAGAGAATTTTAAAATAATATTTTTGGTCCAAATTTGAGTATCATAATGGGTTCTAGACAGTGTATTTAAAAGATGTGACACACGTGTGTCTGACTATAATGTATGGCTGTGGAACCAGTCTCACTTCTTTATGGGTGAATCATTTTACTGTGACAGCAATCTTAATGCAATGTTTGCTTTGCTCACTAGAAAACTTCCAAGATTCTCTCTTGGCTGGTATGGATCAGCTGGTTGGGCGTCCTCCTGTGCACCGAAAAGTTGCTAGTTTGATTCCCGGTCAGGGCGCATGCCCGGCTTTGGCTTTGGGGCTTGATCCCTGTTTGGGGGGCATGCAGGAGGTGGCTGATAGATGTTTCCCTCTCACATCGTTGTTTCTCTCTCTCCCCTCGCTTCCTTTCTCTCTAAAAATTAATTTAAAAATATATATATTTTTTTAAACTTCCAAGATTCTAGTTTACGGTTCATCTTAAACTAAACTAAGCTGGATTTAGGATCTTTATATACTTTTCAAAAGACTGTCTTAGAAGGGCCTGGGAAATAAATTCTCATAGATCATATGACTAGAATTCCAATTTTTTTAAAAATATGTTTTCATTTATTTTTTATTTTATTTATTTTTTAATCCTCACCCAAGGTTATTTTTCCATTTATCTTTAGATAGAGCAGGAGGAAGGGAGAGGGAGAGGGAGAGGGGGAGGGGGAGGGGGTGGGGGAGGGGGGAGGGAGGGGGGGAGGGGGAGGGGGGAGAGAGAGAGAGAGAGAGAGAGAGAGAGAGAGAGAGAAAGAAACATCAATGTGAGAGAGACACATCGACTGGTTGCTTCCCACACAACCCCAACCAGGGCTGGGGACGAACCAAAATCTAGGTATGTGCCCTTGGCCAGAATCGAACCTGAGATTCTTTGGTCTGTGGAATGACGCTCTAACCACTGAGCAAAACTGGCCAGGGTTTATTGATTTTTTAGAGAAAGAGGAAGGGGGAGAGGGAGACAGAAACATCAATGTGAGAGAGAAACATCAAATGGTCACCTTCTGCATGCCTGGGGATCGAGCCCGCAACCTGGGCACGTGCCCCGACCAGGAATTGAACCAGGACCTCTCAGTCCATGGTACAACGATCAATCCACTGAGATACACTTGCTGGTTTGAATTCCAATTTTTAACCTTTGCGTTATCTATCCAAAAAAGACAAAATATGTAAATATTTACTTACTTTGAGTTCTTAACATAGGGAAAAGGTAGGCCTCTTTCTGAAAGCATGGTAGTAAGTAAATTTAAAAAGGAATTCTGAGCCTGGCTGGTGTGGCTCAGTGTACTGAGCATCATCCCATGGACTAAGAGGTCCCAATTGCGAATACTATCATTTCAGGATATACCCATAGTATGAAGAACATTTGAAGAAGGAAGTTTATAAGCAGAACCTTCCAAATTTTACTTATAAGTTTTCAAAAATAATTACTAGATGTTTATAATTTTTAGATAGATCTGGATCCACCATGGACAGATACATTTTTACCTTATTTCTAAATCTGTGGAGAATTCACATTTTGTCTTATTTCCATTTAGTCTAATCTGACAAGGTCTAAAATTTTTAACTTTAGGATTTCTTCAGTGCCAATGTTATCAATACAGTAAAAGTGAGGTTAATGTAAAATGTGTGAATTACAGAATGCTACTTTAAGGAAGGCTAGTTCATTATGTTTAAGTTCATACATTAATTAAACATAGGCTAATCACGTATTACTTAGTAAAGGTTCTTAGGGATCAAAGCATCATGAAAAGGGAAAAAATGATTTGTTTGTATATCTGCTATTACTATACAAACAACTGTTTAGCAACATCTGAAATACATAATATTTAACATTTATTAAGTTATTATACTCCAGGCACTATTTAAGTGTTTTTCCTGTAATCATTAGTTTAAACCTCATAAAAACTCTGTAAGGGTAAGTACTATCATTACCCTCTTTTTATGGGCAAAAAAATTAAGTCACTAACTTTGTTTTTATAAGATTATTTTTTATATGATAAATGTTTAGCCAATATTTATATTGTATTTTTTATATATTTTATATAATAAATGTTTAGTCTTAAATGTTCCATCAAAGAATACATAAAGGGAAATATTAGTTCTAGCCCACAAACTCTGAATTAGCTCCTTACAATCATTTTACTGAAAATAAACATTTTTTTAACTGTGAAAAAATAATAAATATCTGGAAAGCTTTCTTACTTTACAGGAAACATAAGTTCAGCTCATATATTCAAAATTTACATGAAGTAAATTTTTTAAAGTGTGAGAAAACAACAATAAAACATACGGAAATGTTTTCTACTTTAGAGGAAGTGACTAAATTCCTGGACTCATTATTCTCAAGTATTTCTTACTCATTGAAGTAGTGAGAAAACACTTGTCTAAAATTTTCTTTTTTCATCAGGAAATAAAATTTTAAAAAACACCAAAAAAGGATTTCTGATATGTATTTCCTTCAATACTTATATTACTTTGTTTGCATTATTATAAACTTCGTTACAATTCAAGTTTTAGAAAGATATTGGTTTAAAATAAATCAAAATTAATTATTTAAAAAGGGAATATTAGTCATCTTGGATATTTTATTTTACTCTAATACCTTTTATTATTTTCCAAAATCTTTACTGTGTAATTTTACCACATTTAAAATTCTTAGCAAGGGACTTCCTCCCACTAGAGGTTTCGTTTATAACTTGTAATTATATAATAAAGACATTAACTTAAGCACTGGGAGGTCAAGCTGAGGTCTTTCATGCACATATAGTACTTCTGTAAAAAGTTTTTTTATTTTTTCTTAAAAAGTAAGTTTTTTCTCGTTACAGCAACATTTTATTTATATTGCCTAATGGTGCCACCTTGTGGTCTACCTGGGCTTCAAGGGCAACTGTAGCATCTAGTACAGGTATAAAGCAAGAGGAGCATTACTAAAGTTTCTCTTTAATTTCAGTTACTTATCATTATAATTCTCACTAATTCTGAATTTTTGAAAATTCAGAGTTGAGATGAAGTTAAATTTTCCTTTAAAAAAGTTTACCAAGCAAATTAATAGCATAAATATGATTTCAGGCCTATTCTGAAATCTAAACCTCACTAACCCCTTAGCAGATTTCATTTACACAGAATTAAAGTGCTACAAAAATAGCATTCTTGCTTATTCATTTATTTGGTGTTATCTAAAAATACAGAAACTACAACTTTTGTAAATTAGTCCTTATTTTCTAAATAGTCCACAAAATTTAAACCAGACTTCACTTGAAGTAGTTTGAAGGCACACAAGATTGTGCTCTTAGGAGAAACTTAAATATTTCCATGAAATTTTAGAGCTGCAACAGTCATCTAGTATCATCTAACCTGATCTCCTTATTTTACTGATAAGGATACTAAGTACCGGAAAGGCTATATCTTTTTTTTTTTTTAAATTCCCACCCAAGGATATAGTTACTGATTTTGAGAGAGAGGAAAGTGGGAGAGAAACATTGATATGAGAGAGAAACATCGATCGGTTGCCTCCCGTACATGCCCTACTGGGGATCAAATCTGCAACCTAGGTATGTGCCCTGACCTGGAATCGAACTCACAACCTTTTGGTGCATGAGACAACAGTCCAACCAATTCAGCCACCTGGCCAAGGCAAGGCTGTAACTTTATGTGCTACTTTACACACCATCCCTTACCCCCGAAGTTGTAGCCATATTCATGATTCACGGTAGAAAAATAAAGTTCATCATCAATATAACAGTTTATTTTTCACAATTCTATTGTAAGCTATTCCCTTCCACACTCTAAATCATGTTAGATTGAGCGTTAGCATCCTTCGTGCAAACATCCATTCTAGTGACTTAGGGTAGACAAGGGCCCTCCCTATACAACCCCATAGAAGATCCAAAAGACTTCTTTGAGATGTGGTCTGATTTCATGTGGAGCTATGGAAATCACTCTAGTCTAGAGCTCCATGATATTTACATTCATGGCCTAGGTAGACTCTTAAAATTCAAGACTCCTTATACATTGTTATTAGACTCACATACTACTCTACTCATTCCAACCTCAGGAGGCCCTGGTAAATAAAGACACACAAAATAAACAAAACAACAACAAAACTGACTGAAGATAGGACTAAGGAACCAATTTAGCCAATTGCCTTTAAAAATAGCATGTTAATGTACAGTCACAAAAGGACCACCATATAAAGTGCTAGAAATGTGCTCTTTCTCCCCAGCGGAAGTAAGAATTAAGGATGAGACCTTTGGTAGGAAGCGAGGAAAGAGTCTAAGAGAGCTGAGGAGTGTGAGGCTTTAAAGCAGAGGTGGGGAACGTCCAGGCCCAAGAGCCCTATAAGGCCCAGAAAATCAATACCAGCTAACATCGCATTCCTCACCAAATTAGCCTGACCAAATATAGCAGGCTAATTTTTAAGTTGATAATTCTATATAGCCCTCGAATGATGTTATAAATATCCGAATGGCCACTGGCAGAAAAAAGTTCCCCACCCCTGCTTTAAAAGGAGGAGCCTGTGGTCTTTTCCTGCTGTCCCTTCTTTAAACTGGGATAACCTATTTTGGGGAGGCATCTTTTGATACCAGGAAAAAGAAACTAGGGAGTTATATGTTTAATGGCTCCAGGTTCAAGAAAGAGAAATAAGGACGTTTTTCCCTCTAGGTTTTCTAGCCCAGTTTAGGGGGATAAGTAGCGGATTACAGGCAGAAGTATTTTTTGGCTAGAGCTTTCCTCAGCCGATACTTAGGAGCCTAAGATGTAGGGCAAGAAGTGGGAAATGCCAATACTCTTAAAGCACAGCTGAATTAGCAATCCTGATAGCTTCAGTATAATAATTCTGAGGGGAGGGGCAATGAATTACAAGAATCTTCTTTCTGACTGAGGCATGGTCCCGACACAGACTCTCCTATTAAAATGGCAGATCTGTAAGCTGGCTCAGTTTGTATCTGTGTACTGGGAATTTTAGGGGATCACTCAGAAATGGGAATAGGGGCTGGCAAATTCCTAATGAAACTATTTTTACTAACTGCCCAGAGACCTGCCAGGTCATTGTAGCCAACAAAGAAAAGAGTGGTTAGTGACTAAAGAGCTTAAATTTTAATAACTATATGGCTCTCTCAGATTTACTGTTTGCCAGGAAATGGTTTCTCAACAGTTTTTTTCCTCTCTCTTTTTTAATCCTCACCCAAGGATATTTTTCTCTTTATCTTCAGATAGAGTCGGAGGGAGAGAAAGAGAAAGACAGAGAAACATCAACGTGAGAGGGACACATCGACTGGCTGCCTCCTGCATAACCCCGATCAGGGCCGGGGCCAAACTGCAACTGAGGTAAGTGCCCTTGGCCAGAATCAAACCCGCAACTCATTGGTCGACGCTGTTAACCACTGAACCAAACTGACCAAGGCAACAGTTTTTTTTCTTAACAAGTCAATGAAAATTGATCACAAAACCTCATTTTCCTTCTGATCCTTATTTTCACTCTCTCAGAACTATTTAATACAGCCATGTGCCACTTAATAACGGGGGATATGTTCTGAGAAATGCATTAAACAATTTCAGCATCGTGCAAACAGCATAGAGTGCACCTATACAAACCTAGATGGTATGGCCCACTACACACCTGGGCTATATGGTATAGTCTACTGTTCCTAGGTTACAAGCCTGTATAGCATATACAACATGAGATTAAATCAAACACAAGAGAAAATGATGAAACCAAGAGATATAAAAACCAAATGTATGAGGTTGCTGCCAGAGTAACTTTTACAGCAAACTTTTATAAGTATACTGTAAAATAACAATAAACAGTAACGACATAAACCAGAAATAGTCATTTACTATCATTATCAACCATTATGTACTGCACATAATTGTATGTGGTGTACTTTTATATGACTGGCAGTGCAGTAGGTTTACATCAACATCATCTCAACAAACATGTGAACAACGCGTTGTACTATGATGTTACAGCAGCTAGCTATGATAACACTAGGCAACAGAAATTTTTCAGCTTGACCACAATGTCATGTGACCACTGTCATACATGTAGTTTGTTGTTGACCTAAATGTTGTTATGCGGTACATGCATGTAT